CTATTATATTATTTTATATTATTGTATTATTATATTATATTATATTATACTATATTATGAGTCTGAATTTTAAATTAAAAATTTTAAAAATTTTAAATTTTATTAGGGGCATTATGAGTATTATGAAAATTTCATTAATTGTACTATGCTGATTTTCGCACAATCTAAAAACTAAAGTTGCATTTGAGCTACTTTTGATTTTGGCTATAGATTCTTCAATAAGCACTTTTAAGGAGATTTATCAAACATCTATATTATGAGTCTGAATTTTAAATTAAAAATTTTAAAAATTTTAAATTTTATTAGGGGCATTATGAGTATTATGAAAATTTCATTAATTGTACTATGCTGATTTTCGCACAATCTAAAAACTAAAGTTGCATTTGAGCTACTTTTGATTTTGGCTATAGATTCTTCAATAAGCACTTTTAAGGAGATTTATCAAACATTAAAATCAGCTTTTACTATAAGCAAAAGTTGATTTTGGGAGCAAAAATCAATACCAAACTAAGCTTAAATTAGTAAGAGAGAGCTTTGAAGTTTGACCCTTTGACTTTCCACACACACATGTAAACAAGACATTCTCTTCTTTCTCTCTCTCTCAGGGTCGTTTGGAATGAATACTTGAACCATGATTATTAATTCTGACATTTAAATTTTAAATTTTTTATGAGAAACAAATATTATAATAAAATTAATGATTTGAGTTTGAGTGTACGAAACGAAAAAGTTCTTAAATTCTTAATTTTTATCTCAACTACTGATGAGTTTTTCAACTTTCACTCTCCCAAATGCTTTTTTTCTTCTTTTCCTTCGAAAAGTGTGTTGTGAAATAATAAATTATTATTTCCAAGAGTACTTGTCATTGGTTTTCATTAATGGGGTCTCCAATGTTACATTTAATTAATTATTGATGTGGTAATTATAATCGATATATATATATATATATATAATTTGTGTGTGAATGAATGTCTCTAAATTTTTATATATGCCGCATTGTTAAGACTTCCTAATAGAAGCCTTAAATCAGTAAATAAAGATGGATAAATTTAACAAATACCATTTAAAATAGTATCATTAAATATTTTTAGATCTCAACATTAGTCTATTGAATTTTACTCTTTTGGAGTAAGTAATTTAACAGATTATTATTGATAATTTAACAGATGTCGGTGGCAGGCATAATTTAACTGATTATTGTCTAAAACTTGACAAATATTATCTATAATTTGACAGATTATTATCTATAATTTGACAGATTATTATCAAATGGATAGTCTATCACAGTAAAAGAATAGACCTCTAAAAAGATGTGTTTAAGAGTCAGTTTTTACAATTTTCTCAAGAAGGATTAATTAGCAGCCTTATTAAAATGGCACCATTATTAAAAGAAAAATCACGGGTATAACTATTGTAGTACAAACAAATAAATGAGCCTAAATCAAAGTGAAACTTGCTATATCCACATTTTTGTCCAAATTAAATAAGTAGTTTATATGTTTCCCTTTTGAAAGATTACACGTGATCTACCGTTGAATGATTATAAATTTAAACTATACAATTTTAGAATACCATTCAAATCACAATTCTTTAACAAAATCTGATGTTAATTAATTTTCAAATGGTGCTTTATATGTATTTACGGAAATTGAGTGAGTGAGTGAGAGAGTAAAGGAGTTTAGCTTGATAATAAAAAGATGTGAAGAAAAATATGATTAGCATACGTACATGTTAATTAGTAAGAGATACAAAAACTGAATTACAAAACCATGCCAACTTAATTCTATGCAATTAAGAGTGCGTTTATTTTAAGAATTACGTATGGTTTAAATTATGATTTTTGGTTCTATTAAGATATTTTTTTCTCATAAAAAATTTAAATTTAAAGAATCAGAATTTAAATTACTGATTTAAATTTCTGAACTAAACTCAGAACCTTGGAAAGAGAGAGCACATTTACGGCTCTCTATTGTCCACTTGCAATGATATTGGCGAAGTTTTTAAATATTCTTGCACTTGATCTTTTTAGTGCTAAAATAAATACAACTTGTTCTTTCACCTATATATCTAGATCCTATATATCTCCCCACCATTTCCACAGCCTATCATATATTCTTTCGCTAGGTTGGCTTAGTTTCAAACATAATTTATTTCGTGATTTGTTTAATTAACCACATGACACTGCAAGACCTATATAGATACATATTAAATAATTGGAGTGAGAATAATTGATATTAGACAAATTTCATATATCCCAACTTATAACCTCTTCTCACTGCAGGTGCACGATAAGAATCAATGCTATTTCGACGAATTTCTACAATTCTAGTCTGTTTGAACTCCACCACACTCATATCCTAAAGACACTAGAGTGGGAAAAATTTTCTGGAATTTTAGTGTGTCAAAAATGAGGAGTGGAGGATCCTTTTTACAGATTGACAAATGCATAATAAATTGGACCAAGATTAAGTGACGAAAATTAGAGAACAGAACAACAAATGCATAACAAGTTGGGATGAAAATCAGAGAACAGATTAACAAATGCATAACAAATTAGTTTAAATTATTAAAATTACGAAAGAGATGAAGAAATGCATAACAAGTTAGATTAAGAATGAGAGATGAAAACCTCGGAACAGATCAAGAAATGCATAACAAATGAAATTGAGAAAAGAATATCACATATCAAAATAAAAAATGCATTACAATTAGATGTACAAATCAAATCAAGAAGAAGGCTCTTAAATTCTAGTGTGTCAAAAATGAGGAGTGGAGGCTCCCTTTTGTAGGGCTTAGAGGAGATAATGGCTTGTCTATTTCCGGTGTGGAACAAGAGACTTCCTAATTTCTTGCAAGTTTTTCCTTTATTTTTTTCTCAGTCTTATGGGAGCACTTTGATAGTCAAATTTCCATTCTCTTGTTCACCATTTTGACCATATGAATATATTATTTCGATCTTCTCGCGGTGAGAATACAAATCCAAATTAAACCGTTACTAACACGAAGTGAATCCTGCTCAAAATCAAATCTCAAACTGATTCCTCAAAAAAGAGTTACCACGCCATTTTTCCAACAAGCAATACTAAGTTTAATCTTAATTTTTGAGTCAGTTCTTGAGTTATCATTCTTTTTATATTAGTATGTATTTAAAAGATTGTCACATCACTAAATAATAAAATGTTGTATCTATTACTAAAAAGTTAAAATATGAGAGAAAAGTAACCCTATTATTTATGTCATTTTAAATAATTAGGTGTCATCTTAACTTTTTATTTTTTATTTATTAGTTGATTAATAATAATTGCTTATTTTTTAATAAAGTGAATAAATAATATTTTTTACCACTTAAAGTGATATTTTTAGTTTTCCCCCTCAAAGAAATACACATGTCTATATGATGTATACACACATACGCTTCGACAATCTTTTTATTAATTTTTTTTTCTTTTAGATTTATCAACAATCTTGCGAGTTGCAGGTATCAATTAAGTTGCAACTTATCTTGCAATAGATCATATAGAGTGAGTAATGGTTAATTTTTTGGCTGATGGAAATTGGTTTAGCAACCAATAACTTTTTTAAGGAAATAAAATTAAATAAAGTGCATGTTAACTATACCATTAAATGTGCTAACTAAATGCTTTAATTACCTATAAAAAGGTCTCTTATGACTTGCATTTAACTGTTTGCATTCAATTTTTACGTCACAATAATTATAACAGTGTGGGCTACCCCACCAATTAATGGTCCAGAATCAGATGGCTATCACGCATTTAAAGGCACAGCAAGGCTAGCCTTTGAGGATATAATATATATATATATATATATATATATTATATACACACACTCCACATATGAATTTGATTTTAATAGTTACGTAAATATTTACTTATTAATGAGTATTATTTTTTAATTGTAAAATATTAATTTAATGGTTGTAATAAAT